CCTCTCTCTCCTCTTCCACCTCTTTCCCTCCTCCCTCCTTCTCTTGAGGCAGGGTCTTGTACTCCAGGCTAGCCTCTAGTCCAGCTCATAGTGGAGAATGACCTTGAGTTTCTGATCCATCTCCCAGGACTGTGAGGGTTACAGGCATGCTCGACCATGATTGGCTTCATGAAGTCCTAGGGATCAAACTCGGGGTTCCATACAAGCTAGGAAGGTACTCTTCCAGCTGAGATGCATGGCCAGATGACCTGCGGTGTCCTTCTAGGAATGCATTCTGGTGAAGGAATTCTGTAGGGTTAGTGAGATGGCCCAGCCCTTGAAAAGGCTGAGGTTTACAACCAAAGAGATAATGATAATTGTTTGCATAGGCGAGGACTTGTGTTCTTGGCACACTGCTCAAAGCTGCCACCGTCCTAGTGATGGGGCATATTGGTGAAATTATTAAGGCCACTCCACGTAGTTAAAATGGAGGTTTATTTTGTGGGGTAACTCACAAGTGAAGGGATAGGTAACAGGGTCTGGGAAAGGTGTAGCGCAGTCCGGCAGTGTTCTCTGGAGGACTCTGCGCAGTCTACCTACAGCGTCCAGGGTCCAGGAACCAAAAGAGCCACCCCTCCAGATCTCGGGTCTTCAGGGCCCTCTCTTGGCCCCGCCTTGTAGGTGTGACAGTTACCGAAGCCTCCATGGGGGTTGGAACTTCCAGATCAAAGCTGGAAGGGCTACCCACTACAGGGGCACATGCTATCTCTTAGTGTGTCAGAGAGGCATAGAGAAAGGCAAAGAAGTCAGCATCTCCTTTGGAATGCTGAGTCAAGCTCCCAGTTATGCTAAAAACCCGGGAGTCATAAACCCTGACTGCTGGGGGAGGGGGCGTGCTTAGTAGCTACCAGATACTTAATTTAGATCTTTATCCACTTAATTTGCATATTAATGGAAAGGGGAAATTTTACCAGTTTTGCTCTATTTTTTTGTTGTTATTCAAGACAGGGTTTGTCTGGGTAGCCCTGGAACTCACCCTGTAGCCCAGGCTGGCCTGGAACTCACAGAGATCTCCCTGCCTCTGCCTCTGAAGTGCTGGGATTAAAGGTGTGCGACACCGCCACCACCACC